TTGTTAGTGCTTTCAAGTCTTTGTTTGATCCTAATGAGAGAACAAAATCTGGCAAAGAATTACCAAAAGCTTACTTGAAATCTGCAAGAGAAGTTGTGAAAACGATGAGAGAGTCATTGAAAGAAGATCCTAGAGACAATGCAAAGTTTAGAAGAAGTGCTGATGCAGCTAAAGAGTCGATTCGTGATTATTTGAGTAATTGGAGAGGACAAAAGAGTATAGCTGGAGAAGTATACTTTGTCTCTAACTCTTTGATGAGTCCTTTTTGTTCATCTTTTTGACAGTTTGATGATTGAATCGATTGATATACGTTACAGGAATCATACGCGGAGCTGGAGAAAGTAATCCGAGCTTTGGCGAAATTTTACTCAAAGGCTGGTCCATCTGCACCTCTTCCGGATGAGGTCAAGACTGAGATTTTGGATGATCTTAACAAGGCTGAAGAGTTTCTGTGACAGCATTTTAATCGGATTTTCGGGTTTTAATCTTCGAATTCGATATCCGAAGAGGGCACGAATGCCTCGGGAACCATTTTGATCCTGCAGATACATTTTTGCTGTTAACATGTTTGTAGGTATGGTCGCTGTTGGTTTATATAGTATTGTAACTTGAAAGCAACAGAAGAGCTCTGATATAAAAATAAAAAATAAAAAGTAAAATTCTCCCAAAAGTAATAATGGAACTTCATATAATACATTGTTGTGAATCCCTGAATCTGGGATAATAATAAATACAAGTAAAGATAACAACATGACTCTTTTCCACAAATCAAGCTGAATATGAGATCACTCAGGCTTTAAAGTTATAACAATTCCACTGTATTATATAACACATGCTTTTCCTTAGCATCATAGCAGCTCTCAAAGGAGGGCCAATAAGGCGTAAAGCATATATCTTCATCACAAATCTCTTAGTATAAGACATGCCTCTCATTACCTAATCACCTTGGAGAATGCAGCTTGAAGATGAGCATCAAATCTCCGAATAAATCCAGGGAGATATTATATCTCCTCCAGTAGAACAGGCCTGACACTCGAATGACGAGCAAAGATTCATCTTTAGTAAACACTATCCCTCAGTAACGGGTTTTTTTCCCCCTCACAAAAGAAAACCATCCGCGAATGCATTGTCTTTCGATTCAGCCAACTTAGCACCAGTACCGAGTATGTCATTGTCTTTACATGAAGGAATGGCGTCTCCATTTGAAGAGTTTTGTTCACTCTTGGCTTCTTGGGAGATAGAGCTCATATCTGATGATCCTATACCAGAAACAGATGATGAGAGATTGTTTTCAACCTGAAAATCAGCGGATGCTTGTATCTTCACATCTTGAATAATAGCAACAGTTTCTACATTCACATCTTCGCATGATGACACTGTATCTTCACACTGCTTAATGCTAGAATTTAATGCGATCTGACAAGAAGAGCTAATTCCACATTCTTCACTAGGAATATATCTCCTCAATTCATCATCCTCTGGCTTGGAAATCGTGTCCATGGTTGTTTCAACTGATACAGGAACGTTTTCTTCATCAGAAACAAGAAAATTCTTGTAGCAGTCTGCACCATAAGCAACAAATTCATTGGAATGTAGACCAATTTCGGCAGAAGACGCGAGTTCTGGTTTTGTTTCTTTCTCTATCTCTGAATTTATGGCATCCGCATGTACAACAACACAGTCACCTGCAGCTGTAGCGACTCTGACGTTTTCTTCATGGAGCAGAGGTTTCTGTAACATGTCTATTCCAGGGAATACCAACGTGTTGAGGGACCTCATCTCTTTCCTGACTGAATCATCAAGAGGACTGAATCCAAATTTACCAGTCCACGCATGCAAGAAATCTGGAATGGCTGGGATAACCAATTTCTCAACCTTGAGAGAACGCATGGCCTTCACAAACAAGACAAACAAAAAGTTAAAAAGTTGAAAGCAACTTTCAGCAGCATATGGTACCTACAAACAATGATTATATCGTTAACCAGCTTACCGATTCAATTGCATCGAAAAGCCGACGGCACATTCCTTGACGCCTATATATGTGTCTGGTGCCAATAAATGGCATCTCTGCCAATTGTATCCCATGGAACCTAACAATGAAACATAACATTCAAACTCTAGAAGGTCCTCGGAACTCAGCATTGATGAAACAACTAGAACTTCAAACCTAAAGGCAGCTGATAAATAGCATTTCTTAATCACAGCTGGTTAAATGGCCTGCTCGTTCTATCAGAAACCGATCTGAACAGGCAGTAGATAGAAAAATAGAAAACCAGAGGACTCACAGTTGCAGCAATTTTAGTTGTTAAAAACTAAAAGGGGAAAGGAAAATGCAAATTTTTCAATCGTGTCCATTAGAGACAAGTGATTTCCAATGAATTGCAAAGACCGCTAGATATATTTGATCAGATAACACTCGGGGAAGATTCTGTGATGCCATCGCAAGCTGTTAAAAAGTGTTGACTGAGATAATGGATAAATACCTGAGAGATGCTGCGCATATAATTTCATCTCCTCTCTCCAGGATAGCAGTGTAGAAGCCAGTATAATTAATCCGGTTGAAATTGGATCTGCATACAAGGCAGTCAACATATGGAATACTTGTACAAGTTACAATATTAAGAGCAGTTGAAGACATCATACTTTTTCAGCATTGAGTATCAAAGACAGAATAACACAAAACTTACCCACAATTGTAAAGGACATTGCGAATTAGATTTACCCCACTCCTTCTGTCAATTATGGGCAAAAAACATTCGTCCATGATAGCCAGTCCGACAGCTAGCTTCGAATTATTTTCAATCCTTTGTGCCGACAATTGAGAGTTTTTATCTGAATCAGTATCCACCCTATGTATAAGAGACCATGAGTAGCCGGCTTCTAATTCGTTTTTTACTCCAAGATACTTCTGTAGTTTTTCAAAGAGCTGTAGAAATCAATGAAAATTAAGTTTAACAATATGGCTATACAAGGAGTAAATGGACCACGAAATACCAAAGACATGTATTGAAATAGATATGACTAAACAAGTAGATAAAAAGCTCAACGAAATCGTATAAATACAGAATATGCAAGTTCTCTCCCAAAAAGAGATGACATTATTAGCCTTTACTGATGCTATGACATATATGAGAGTTTTGAATGATGCACAAACTATACAACATAACAACTAACAAGAGCTGAGGTTTTGAGAAGAATAACCACAATGCTATTATTGCACATGAAGCTAATAAGTTGCAACCAGCTTTGACATATAAGAAGGAAACGACTCTAAAAATTGAGACACCAAAACTGTTGAGGAAAATAGAGAAGTCAACATACCTCTAAGCACTTAGGCCCACAAAATGAAGAAGCTGAACCAAAAGATTGAACCTTACGAGCTTCCAGCTCACTCATGCATGATTGGTGATCTACAAAAGGTGCATAAAATATAAGTGAGAACGCCAGAACGCAATTGCTACCAATGATAGTTCATTAAAGGAAATTTCTCACATCTTCTCTCACACATGTTGCAGGAAAGTAATGAAATATGATTTCCGTCCTCACCACCACAATCCACAGCTGCATCACAAAATTTGCAAGTGCAATTTGGACAGTGCCAATCACCCAGAGGAAGCACCTACAATCAAGCATGGTACATGTACATGAACACACACAAGAAAGAAAACAACATAGAAGTTGAACTCCAAAACCAGAAAATGGAAAGAAACATTGAGGTCTAAACAAGTAGACTTTGCAGTGATTCGTACCTCCATACCTAGGCAGGTTTGATGGTATGTTGATGGACAACCATCACAGCAAATCAAATCTCCACCATCACCACAGATCCCACAAGCATCATCATTTGGATCATCACCATCAGTATCTACGTGATGGAAACCAAGATTCTTAGCATCTTTTTGCATATTCCACGCTCTGATTTGGCAATGAAGAAGAGAACTGCCAGATTCCAGATAAATATTTTGGAAAGGCTGATATGACTTGCTCCCAGCATGAACCTCAAACCTAGAAACTGAGAGGATTTTACTACAGCAATCACAATGAATCCCTGCTCTTGTTATCCATCCTTCAAGCATCACCTTTGTACACTGATGGTTCATGTATTGCACCTTTTGCCTTAGTTGGACAACCCCACATTCAATCAACCAAGAAAGCAATGTCCTTTTTCCAGAGTATGGATTGAATCCGTCAATTGCGGGGTTCTTTTTATCCTCAGAACTACGCACCAACAAAGTACACCTTCCAATTTTTTTGCTTTTTCTTCCATGTAAATAATGTGAATCAGATCCAGAAGATGGCCTTGCATCATTGTAGTGCGGCAATCTTTTACTTTTCGAGTGTAAATCATCCCAACTGGTTTCATTTCTTCCTCTTTTTTTCGATTTCCCAGACAATTTCACAAATGAACCCCTCCTCTCTTCACGGGTATCACTGTCTGCTCCTCCTTCATCATCTCCATCACTTTCCTTTTCACTCTCGCTACCACTGGAATCCTTTTTCCATTTCTTTTTCGTCTCAGCACCCGTCTTCTTCACCTTCCTCGCTAAATTGTTCACAATGTCCTCTGATACTAAAGCAACTGCAGCAACATCCTTCCTAGACCTAGCATTGATTTCTTCGTCCTTTAACTGCTTCAGAAGTGCATCATATGCTTTGATTATTGACCAATATGCTGTTCCTGAGGGGTTTACATATACAGCATCCAGGTAACTTTGATTCCTCCTAGGTCTATAGTCTATCGTCCATCCTGCATCAGTAAGCATTCCCTTAATTCGCTCACGCAATCTTTGCTTTTCTGTTCCACCACCCCGCCTTCCTCTTTTTTCTTCCTTCACAGCAGGTTTCAACGGTTCAGAAAAGGTCGGTTTGGATTTGGTATTGATTTCCTTCTTGGATTTCTGGCACTCTGGTTTCCTTCTTTTTGATTTCCTTGATGCGTCACTCTCTTCCGACTCTGAATTATTGTCTACATTATTTGATTTCCTACAGCTTGGTTTTACTACAACATTCTTACGCTTTTGTACCTTCCTCGAAGAAGGTGGTCTCTCGTATATTTCTGCTTCCTGGTGATTGACTGAAGCAGCAAGAGTGCTCGGTTTATTGTTTACCTTCACCTTCAGAACACCGTTTCTCCCCTGCACCCTTATTGGTTCATCAGAATCAGAATCACTACTCGAATTCTCCTGAGAACTCAAACTACTTGAGCCATTTACATATGGTTTTTTTCTCCTAACAAAGAGACCGTCCTCGCCTGAACCAGACCCTCCCAAACTACTATCAACCCTTCTAGGTGCAAAAGAGCTTCTTCCGCTAACACCAACATTCCCATTATCAAATCGTTTCCTCATCAAATTTGCGCTATCAAACCCATCGTATTCGTCAAACTCATATACATCTAACTTGTTCATCTTCACCAAACTCCCTGACGCCGCGTTGCTCCTCCTCACATACCCATTACGATCATTCTCAACCCTATCCCTCTTCCGAGCAAACTCCCCCTTCGAGCTACTTTTCGCTCCAAGGGTTTTGCGGTCAACGTTCTTAGGTGGAGGTTTCATAAACTCATCATCACTCGATTCTGAATCACTAACAATCACTCTAGATCTCTTCTTCTGAAAATTCCGCCTAGTTCCACTAGAAGACACAGTCCTACCAACCCCATCTCTAATTTCCTTCACATTCAAACAACCCAAAGAGCTTCGAGGTATCTTCACAGTAATCCGTGAGCCCTCACCAGACCCACCACCCCGTTCCATAAACGATCACTACACACAAGAAAATAAATCCAAAGTACGAACCTTTAATTCTAATCCCGTTTACAAATCCGAAACCAAATCAATATAAACTACCTAAATCGACAAAACCTTTACTCGATTAACATCAAAAAGCCCCTCAAATCACCGGATCCAGGGTGAGGAAAACAAGAAGAGTCCCGATCCTTGAAGAGAAACGAAAGTATCGGCGAAAAAAAGTCCTTTAAGGATCGAACGTAACGAGCTTGTGAGCTTGGGGATTCCACTGTCGCCGGTTTCCTCAGCGGCCGACAATGTAACTCCGCCGCTGCCGAGAGGGAAGGAGAAGGGGGGCGAAACGGAGCGATACAAAAGATTAGGAAGCGAAAACGAAACTTTTTTTATCTTCATCCAGATATATTTATAGTATTCTACCTTATTGAAAAATCACCCACTAGTTTGTAATTTGATCAATCAGCCCCCCCTCAAGTGAGAAATCGATTTCAATTTAGAAAGAGTTTGCCAATAATTTATCGAGGAATTAATAGGTTCATGGGCCAAAGAAATATTCAGTAGCATAAAATCCCAAATAATTTGTTTCTATAGAAAAGTGGCCTATGGGCTTGTACTGTTTTGAGCCTTTCGCACTGAAAATCAAAACAGGAGTTTTGCATACTTTTTAAAAATAATAAACTATATAAATTTCGGATATTTAGTCCATAATTTTCTTCTTTAAATATCTACAATAGAACTAGCGGTTTATAATACTGTTTTAAAATGTAAATTATTCTGTTTGAGTAGATTTGTGCATAAATGTTCAATTGGATAAATGAAAATGTGATTGAATTTGTGTTAATTACTTTTTCAATAATAATGATTAAATCAATCAGAGAGAGATAAAAATGTGAAATGATGAATAATTCGAATGGGTTATCAAACGCCACCAAC